TTGAGGGAGTACTTGAGTGGAGGCCCAATGCAGATCATTTCTTAAGGGCTAACTCTGCAGTTCCCCCACCACCACCACCTGGCTTCCCTGCAAAGGTTCCCAAGATCCTGGGTAAGGGGAAAGGAGACATCATATATGCGATCGGGCCTGGGTATGCTGGCCAAGTACAATATTGCTCAGACAGACAGATTCTGTAGTTTTATAGCCGCTCCAACTAAGAGCTGCCTTTCCATCCCCATTACTTGAACCCTCGGAGCAATCAAGGTGAACTTAGCAATGGAAGCAACCCGGGTAATTTTCAAAGAAAACCCTAGCTACTGGTTTTTCCTTTGCAGACCACAGTCAGAAGTTCTGTGTGGTTGAACTACCTTCTCTCTGCCCTCATCTCCCGGCTGTACCTCTTTGCAGGCATAGCCCCACTCCTGAGATTCTTGATTTCTTTTAGTGGGATACTTCAGAGATCAGCAACTATCACAATAAAGCAAGCTCGTGGACTTGCTGGCCTCCCATCGCATGTAACAGTTATGTTCACATGAGGAGAGGTTTGAAATATGGTGCGATTGCCACGATGGGACCCAGAGACACATGCTGTTGGAGATGTGGAAATCTCAAATGCAGGGCTGCCACACTGACTCTCTGTGAAAAGTGCAGTTATCTGGGAAGGGCAGAAAGCAAGCACAGGTATGCCTGTGCTTCCCTGAAAGGGTCAGCTAAGCCACAAGCCTCGGCTTCTGGTTTTCCTGGAAGTCGGGTGCACGCTTGCTTCCAGAAATTTGGTTCTTTCTTTTTTTAAATGATAAAGTTCCTGGCCAAGGCAGAGCGACATTGATGCTTTCCTGTAACCCCCTGTCATCTCGACAAAGCCGATTGCTTGATCAGCGCCTGGGCTGCAAAAGTCTATATTTCTGTCTATTCAGGTTCCTAGTAGATTCCTTGGGAGACTTCCTAGGAAGCTCAAGATGTGCTAAACGTCACTGAGGAATAAGTGAGGCTGAGAATCAGATTGGTGCTGTACACGCAGCGCTTCCTTCAGGCAGTCACCGGTATTTATTAAGCAGCTGCTGTGCACGAGGCTCTGCTGCAGACACCTGGGGTACAAATGCGACAAAGAATTACCCCTGCTCCACCTTGCTGGGTGGGAGGCCTGGAAAGAAACATGGCTTGGTTAGAACTTCACATGAAGATGCAGACTCAAGCAAAGCTTTCCTGAGTTATTATCACTCCACTTAAAGTCTCCCGTACACGAAAACACAGTTCCCCAAGTCAAGACGTCTTCTGTATTGTGTTAAAAAAAAGTGCTTCTCTGTGAAGACAGTGAGCCAGGTTTAAGGTATGCTTCATTTAGATTTTCCATATGTGGGGGTGGGAGGGTAGAAGAAGTGTTCAAACACCATCTAGTGGGCAGGACCCTGGAATGCTGCCGAATACCCTGCAGTGCCCAGGGCAGGCTACCAGTGGTCTCAGCACTGAGAACCCTGCCTGGCTTGTCTTAACTCTAT